TGACATGGATTAGTTCTTTTTCCATATGCTCTACTCTAGCTAGTAGAAAAAGATTGTGATTGTTTAGTTTTCTGAAAGCTGCAGTAGAACTAACTTTATCAGTACATCGAGAACTCGAGCCCTTCCCTCTCTTAGCATGATGGGAAGTTGAAGACATTCCAAGTTTTTTTCCCGTCTGTATACTCTGCTCCGCTGCTAGAGTCTCCTCTTGAGCTCTTTTAATAGCCTTAGCTCGGTTAATAACTTCTTGCAAATTAGGAAAATTTAAAGCCAACATCATCTCTTTCAACTTAGGCCCTTAATGAACCAATCACGTCAGGCTTTATCATTAGGAACTACCTCAATAGAATAATGACTAAGCTTGTTGTGTTTAGCCTCATACTCATGCACTGCTCGATCGCCTTGTTTCAAATTAAGAAACTTCAACATCATTAACGACATAAACTGCTCCCCGATGTACTTGTTCATAAACTCATCTTGAAAGAATTGCCAGGTCACTTGTTCAGGTGATGCATACATCGTAGTATTTGACCACCACACTGGAGTTGATCCTCAAAGTAAAGATACAGCTCCACCCAGCTTTTCAGAATCTGAGCATTGAAGACTTTCCAACACTACCGTAACATTATTTAGCCGTAAATCAACATCCATCAAACCTTCATCTTCTTCTTCCCAGAACTCAGGAGCTCTCAAACTTCTCAACTCTTTTGGGATTAAAATCTGTGGTGCTGGAGAATAAGGGGAGGTGGAGGAGGTTAGAACCGAGTCAAAATGCCATTGAGAGTTTGCATAAAGGCTCTAAACTCTCCCACAGGCATATCTTGATGTACAAGCACACTAGCATTTTCAGATGGGATTGAATGCTCACTATTAGCTTCATAGCTCTTGTTACATGACCATTCTCTAATTTCTTGACCATTAGCTCTTCTTAAATTCTTATAATCTGACATCTAATATAACTTACGTAAGGATAATACTTAATTTAGCAAGGATATACATCGATCATATTCGAATTATACCCTATCAGTAACCTTATCATCTTAGTGGCATGCAAATCGTTTTTACATCAAAATACACTCGATTTCGGCCGATAATTGAGTAAACCTGCAGCTTTGATACCAATAAGTGTAACACCGAATTTCCCGTATACATTTTCATACACGAGTCATATATCACATCACTTATAAAACTTTCCACTTTTGAAAAACCAGTATAAAATTTGTTTCCAATCATAAAACATTTTGATTTAATAAACTGAAACATTCATTTACTTACACTATGTAAATATATCATAAATGTTCGAGCATCTTTAAAAATTTTACATCATCATAGTTCAAAATATTTTTTAGAGCATTATAATAGATCTATTACATGCCAGCTAACAACATCAAAAGTAGACATAGTTTTTCGTACAGTTACTGATGAGGCGACCCTTGAATGAAATATCAGATGCACTCATTACTCTTCTCGCTAAAACCTACGCGTGAAATAAACACATGTTAAGTATTTACTTAGTGAGGCAATAACACTAAAGAGGTGAAATCAAAACATTTGTATATCATAACTATCAAATTATAATTTATTGTTTTCAAATCAATATAAGTTCTTTGGGGTGAACACGTAGAGGCGATACGGTCATTCATAAACATTTTATGAATTTTTGGGTTGCACACTTAGTGCCAAAATGGTCGTTCATAAATATATTATGAATTTCGTGGGTTGCACACTTAGTTTCGATATAGTCATTCATAAACATATTATGAATTCAGTGGGTTGTACACTTAGTGCCGCTAGTACACATAATACTAATATAACAATGCAACATATGCATTTAACCAAATGCAACAATAACCCTGAAGAATATCAAGGCATTTTTGAAATGAACTCATTTATTGAAGAAGAAATCGAATAATTTTGCTAGAAAAATTTCATTCCGCTAGCAAATAAGGAATGTTCGATTTATGATGAAAGCTTAGAACATCGTGACAAATTTCCAGATGGGGTGGAACAATCTAGTTTACTACTATCTAGATCAGGTATTAACTTTGAACCCCTTGATTTTGATGAATTTATTCCTCTTAAGCCATCGTTATTGCGTGCACATACCCTAAAACTAAAACCTTTTCCAGGGCATCTTAAATATGTTTATTTTGGTAGTGATGATACTTTACCTATGATTATTTCATCTAAACTTACTACTAAGAACAGAAAAGTTTGTTAAGTGTTTTGTCGCAGCAGAAGAAAACGCTTGGTTGAACTATGGTTGATTTAAAAGGGATTAGTCCCACGATTTCCATGCACAAGATCCTGCTAGAAAAATGCCATGGTAACTATTTGGAACCACAATGAAGACTCAACCACGTTATGAAGGAATTAGTTATTAAAGAAATACTTAAATTTCTTGATGTTAGAGTGATTTACCCTATATCTAATAGCTCTTGGGTGAGCCCTGTCCAATGCTTGGCAAAGAAAGGTGGCACAACTGTAGTTACCAATGAGGATAATAAGCTATTGCCCACTCACACTGTCATTGGATGGAGGATATGTATGAATTATCGTAAGCTCAATAAAGCTACAAAGAATGATCATTTTCCTCTACCCTTTATCGATAAAATGTTGGATTGATTGACAGACAAAACATTATATTGCTTCTTGGATGGATTTTCAGGGTACAATCAAATTTCCTTCGCATCAGATGACCAAGAGAAACTACATTCACTTCTCCCTATGAAACTTTTTCCTTAAAGAGGATGTCTTTTAGACTCTGTATTGCCCATCAACTTTTCAGTATTGCATACAAGCCATCTTTTATGATATGGTTGAGACTTTCTTGAGATATTCATGGATGGTTTCTTCCTTTCTTGAGATGAATTCGAGTGATGCCTTGGCAATTTGAAAAAAAATTCTCAAGAGATGTGAGGAGGTTGGTCTGGTTTTGAACTGGGAGAAAATCCACTTCATGGTAACTGAAGGCATTGTTTTAGGGCAAAAGATATCTCACAATGGCATTGAGGTGCATTAAACGAAAATTAGAGTAATTGAAAAATGTCCATTGCCTACTTTTGTCAAAGGCATAAGCAGTTTTCTTGGACACAGTGGCTTTTATAGATGATTTATCAAGGACTTCTCCAATATCTCTAAGCCCCGACAACTTTTCAGCGTTGCAGGCAAACCATCTTTTTGATATGGTTGAGGACTTTCTTGAGATATTCTTGGATGATTTCTCCCTTTTAGAGACAACTTCGAACGATGCCTTGGCAATTTGGAAAAAGTTCTCAAGAGATGTGAGGAGGCTGATATGGTTTTGAACTGGGAAAAATGTCACTTCAAGGTGACTGAAGGCATTGTTTTAAGGAACAAGATATCTCACAAAGGCATTGAGGTGGATAAAGCGAAAATTAGAGTAATTGAAAAATTGCCATTGCCTACTTCTTTCAAGGGAATAAGGAGTTTTCTTGGACACACTAACTTTTATAAAAGATTTATCAAGGACTTCTCCAAACTCTCTAAGCCTTTATGCACCTTTCTTCAAAAAAACCAGCCCTTTGTGTTTGACGAGTTATGTCTAGGCGCATTCATTGAGCAAAAATAATGATTGATCTCGGTGCCCATAGACATCACCATCTGAGCTGATGTGTGATGCAAGAAATTATGCCATAGCATCTTTTTTGGGGCAACACTAAGGTAAAATTTTTCATGTCATATACTATGCTAGTCATACCTAGAATGAGGCACAAATGAATTACACAACCACCGAGAAAGAATTACTTGCCATATTATTTGCATTTGATAAATTTAGACCATACGTAATAAGAACTAAAGTTATTATTCAAACTGATCACTCAGCTATTAAATACTTAGTGAACAAAAAGGATGCCTAGCCTAGACTAATTAGGTGGATCTTACTTTTGCAAGAATTCGACTTAAAGGTTTTAGATAAAAAAAGGTACTGAAAACTAAGTTACTGACCATTTATCTAGGCTAGAGAACAATTCTAAATGCCATGACACTGTATATATTCAAGAGATATTCTGTAGTACTACAATTCTGTGGTACCCTAACCTTGTTAATTTTTTTTAATGGTATACTGCATTTTGATTTGAACAGCCAGGGTAAGAAAAAGTTCAAGAACGATGCAAGGTTTTATTTTTGGGATGAACCATATTTATTTAAACATTGTGTTGACCAATTCATTAGACGATGTGAACCTGAAGAATAACAATGACACAATCTATATCATCATTGTCATACAGCCCCAAGTGGAGTCCACTTTGGAGGAGCAAGGATGCCAGCGTTTTGTAGTCAGGCTTTTATTGGCCAACTCTATTAAAAGATACTCAGGTATTTTACAAGTCCTGCGATCAATTCCAATGCCCTGGGAACATATCCAGGCGACATGAAATGCCACTCCAAGGCATTCTAAAAATTAAGTTGTTTAATGTTTGGAGCATTGATTTCATGGGACCATTCTCATCTTCTTGTGGTGATATATACATTTTGCTTGCCGTGGATTATATATCCAAGTGGGTGAGACAATTACGACATCAAATAATGATTCCAAAACCGTTTTTAAGTTTTTGCATAAACACATCCTCACTCGGTTTGGAGTACCTCGAGCCATTATTAGCGATGAGGGAACCTACTTTGATAACAAGTTGATTACCAAGGCATTTAGAAGATATGGAGTCTGTCACAAAATTTCCACAGCATACAAGCCAAATACGAATGGCCAAGTTGAAATATCCAACCGTGAGATTAAGCAGATCTTAAAAAAAATGGTGAATCCGAGAGGGAAGGATTGGTCACCAAAGTTAGATAAAGCACTTTAGGCATATAGAACAGCTTTCAAGACACCTCTGGGCATGTCACCTTTCAAGTTGGTGTATGGGAAAGCTTGCCACCTCCATGTCGAGCTAGAACGAAAATCTTATTGGGTCATTAAGAGGTTAAATTTCAATGCTCAATTAGCTGGAGAGTAAAGATTGCTGGAACTCAATGAGATGGAAGAGTTTAGGGCACAAGCATATGAGAATGCCAAGATATATAAGGAAAGGAGTAAAAAGAGGCATGACCAAAAGTTGATGCTACAACATTTTCATGTTTTTCAACAAGTGTTACTTTACAATTCCAGACTTAAGTTTTTCCTTGGAAAGCTCAAATCTAGATTGTCAGGACCTTTTGAGGTGCATCATATCTATCCCTATGGAGCTTTTGATATCAAAAATGTTGACGATGGGGAGTTCTTTAAGGTCAATGGTCAATGCCTGAAAGTTTACAATGGAGCTCCAATGTTGTGTGACAAGTCGGTGTTGTATCTGTACGATGTCTGACTGTGCCTAAACCATGAACAAAAATTCAATGCCACGACATTGAATTATGTTGATTGTGCATAAATAAAAAATTTATTTTTCTTTTTTCTTTATCTTTATTTTTATTTAATTATTAATAGATAATGACAATTTTTTTGTATTGTAGGGACCCACTAAGACCAGGGATGTACGAAGGAGCGGTTACAAAGGGGAAGGAAAAATATAAAGCAATTAAAGGGGGAAATATTATTTTATACTTTCTTTATTTTATTTTATTTCTATATATTTATTTCTCTCTCTACATTGTCCTTTCACATCACATTTAATTTTACAATTTAATTTTTCTTTTTTCCACCTACCCCTTTTACCCCATCCACTCATTTTTTTAATCGTCCACTCACTCCATCTCTCCCATTATTTTTGTTAACTTTTCTTTTTCATCTTCTTCTTCTCTCATTTTCCTCCATAACCGACACCATTGAAGCAAAACAAACTCTCAAATTTTTGTAATTTTTCCTTCAAATCACTATATAAGTGGTACGAACTACTATCCCTCAGCAGGTTATAGATGATTCAGCAAAGGAACAATTTCAAAATTTCAAGAACCATAAGCTTTTCTTTCAGTTGGGGTTCATTTTCACTAAGGGAAAAGATGGTGGTTTTGGGCTCGATGTGAAGGAAATTGTTGAGCCATTGAAATAGAACAAGTTTGCAAGGCACCCCGACCCCGTTAACACCTCTTTAGTAATAGAGATCTATGCAAATATTTCTAAACCAAATCAACATGCCAGTTTTTTCGAGGTAAATATATTTATTTTACACCCTCTGCCATTAATTGTTATTTTCATTTACAGAGAGTTGAAGATCAATATACAAACTTTGAGAAAGATGCTGACAATGCAACATAAGAATGAGTCCTTGAGGATTTATGTTTTTCGAATACCACTTAGAACAGTTGCCAGACCAGTCGTTACTCAATTAATAGGGAACGCCTTCAACTGCGCATTTCATGAAGCATAAGCTCATGCCTACCGCTGACAATACAACGGGATGTTGTGGTGGAGTCATGTTGCAAGAAATGATTCCCCATATCGAATGGAATTTTTTGGGTTTCCCGGATGAAATTCTGACGGCATTTGATGCTGAGGCATCTCCTGAGGCCAATGATGTTGAACCTCCCATGGTTGAGCCAGTCCCCTACTATGGAATCTCTTGTAGTACTATTTGAACCAACCCCCAGTCCAATTGTTGCACCTTATCCCGCCCGTCAGACCAATCGTCATACTAAGACATCGACATGGTGTGTTAATATTTCTCACTATTATTCAACTTCTTCTGATTCTAGTCCCACACCACTCCAAAAAATAACAAGGCATGAAGTTGCTAGCACCTTTACCGCAACACCGCTACCACCATAAGAAAATTGAGGTACCTCATTTTGCACTAATTTTGTATTCCAGAACATTGCATTTTGTTTCATTACTTAATTTGTTTTATTAAGAATTGAGGACAATGATTATCTCAAGTTTGGGGGAGGTAGTGTCTTTGTAGTACATATGCAAGATAATGTTAGCATAATATTATGCCATGTCATCAGTAAGTGGTAGCAAAATTAGATAAAATGTTTTGGTGATACCTGACAACTGTCGTTTTGATGTCAAAATAAACTCCTTATTCCCAATAGAATATAAGAAATACGTAGTAAAAAGAGAAAGGGTCAATCCAAAGGGACTTAAAAAATTCCCAAATTTCGGTTTGAATTACCTTGACCAGAAGATATGCAGTAAAAAAAGGGGATTTGATAAAAATAATTAAATAAGATAAAGCAATTTAAAGTAAAAATAAAAAATATAGAGAATGTAAAGTTGAAAATAAATATGGTAAAAATAGCCCCAAGCCTCACTTTGACTCAATTTTCTTCGGATCATCGAATTAGGTTTCCCTTCGGGATTCACGTCGGTTACTTTGTCTACAAAAGTAATCCTCGAGACTCTACTTTCTTTACCAAATACCCAAGGCAATCTTTGATTCATGTTTCAGAAATTGATGTGATCAACATCAATTATCGTAGATCAATAACCGTTTAAGTTCGTGAAGACTGACTCGAATTGTTATTTCAATAACTACTAATTCGGGTCTTAATTCCCTCTTATCAAGACAATCTCGTCAAGTGTGTTCCCAGAAAGACGAATGTGCTTTCAATAAGCTGATCCTTCCCCCTACACATTTAATCACAACAATATCCTGACCAATGTCAATCTTTGATTTTGAAAATTGTTTTGATTTTCGAAATAAGTGCATAGATTGAGAGAGATATTCCAAAGTTATTCAAGTTGTTTTTAATTCTCACGTTGGAATTGAGTAATCGATTTAGCCCTCTGCTTATGAGAAAATTAGCTAAGCATGAAAAAAAGGCATACTTTGCATGTTTAAAAATAAAACTTAAAATAAAAAATGAAAACTTTGAAAAATAAGGAGAAGAAAGAACTTTATAAAACTAGAAATAAGAATAAGAGTGAAATATGAGTTGTGTGTTTTGGCTTACCACAAGAGGTTGTTTATAGCCTCTAAAATCCTAGATATAAACATATAAATTAAAAGAAAAAAAATACTAAAGATAATTCCAAATGTTTTTCCAAATTCAAGCTTTAAAATAAAAATAAATCTCCTAAGATATCTTTGACCGTCACCTTCCAGGAGGTGCTGACTAGATCTTCTATAAAACTTCTACTGACTGGACCTTCTTGAAACTGCCACCTCAGAGCACATCATGCCCAGACTCGTGCCCATGTCTCCAGTCGTGACCAAATAATAAAAAATGAAGAATGCACCCTCTTTACTGCTAATTATGGAAAATAAGATCCTTCACAAAAATAAGCATAACACAACCAAATCAGCAGCAATAAATCCACAAGATCGAAGAATAGACAAGCAAATATTATCGATTTAGAACAATTATCAAATTCCCCCTCACTTATCCCATGCTTCTCCTCTAGTATGATATAATCAAATCAACCAAAAATTAAATTTACCTTTATTTGTCAAGTCTAACATTCGAGGAAACAAGGTAGAGACCACAATAATCATCCAAGTTAAGACACCAATCAATTGAACATCACCAATTGGAACAAGTTAAATACAATTGTAATATCCATTCATTTATCAATATCAATGTCACATAACTTAACACTTTATAGGGATTCACTGAAATAACTCAATGTGTTTGGAGAATAGAAACGTTCAATGCCAGAACCGACACTACATTGCCATAGGCATGCAAGTAAATCAAATCTCCACTACTAATAAGAACAAGATGCATAAATCAAATGGTCTTTTATTGGTTGTAACAGGGCTTAGGTAAAGGTGGGGAAAAGGATAATAATATGGCTAAAATTCAAGACAATGAACTACAAATAAGTACAACTCCATCAATTGACTAACTACTACAAGATAAGAAGACATAAACCGTCAAACAACACATTTCATTTAGAACCGAATTGGACTTTTCTATACTTTTATTGTTATTTTATTTTTCCACTTTGTCTCATTTTTGTTTTTTTTTTCTTTTTCCTGCTATTTTTTGAACTATTTTTTAACAAAAATTCTTCTGTTCATAGAGCATGATCATACACCGTGTATATTTTTCAATGGTATTGGAAAAGGGTAGAAAGAGGAATAAAATTAAAAGGATCGAGTTTATTAATGTGGTGTAAAACAAAGAATGGGAATATGCTCACAAGTGGTTAAATAGGGGAAAATGCATGGGTAGGCAATTTATTGGGTAAAACGAAGTGGTTAATCCTAAGATACCCAAATCATTTTTAAGCATCATGTTTGTGTGCAATCTCGACAGTATTTAAAATGTAGGTTCTAGAATAACAATTTCAAATTTGACATACTCAATCCAACAAAACGAGAGAAAAACACTATGCTCATAAGGGCTCAAATCTTTCCAAATTGTTTTTATGCATTGAGCTAAGCGCATTTCAACCAATAAAATCATGGAATATCACAATAAATCTAACTTGATCTTAATTCATACTATTCGTTATCAATAATATCTTAACCTAAATAATTATGTGTTCCTAAACAAGCATGGCATACAAAAAATATTCAACAAAACAAAGAAATTCAATGGAACTTTCTGTTAATCCAACAAACACATACTAGCATAAAAGTATAGAGATAACCAAATGAAAATACAATGAAGACTCTACTCCCTCTCACTTAAGGCTTTTTGTCCCAAAATATAAAATTAAGTATGAGAGAAGGAATAGAGAACTCCTTGAATTTATTGTCGACCATTACCACGGCCACGACCGCGGTGAGAGGCGATAAAAAGAATATATGAAAGAATTTCAACAATATTTGTCTCAATGGTGTTGAGACGATTTGTAGACTCCATCTATTTGTGTTTGCATGTCCGGGCGAGGTGTTGGCGCATTGCGACAAACAAAAACTTGCTCGTTTTGAGGAGTAATGACACCAGGTGGAATAAAGTATGGTGTTCTTGGGGTTCCAACGAGTAAGTTCATCGAGTCCAAGCATCACTCACCCAAGGCATATATAGAAAAAACATAAGTAGACATCGTAACATCAAAATTAGCAATGCGAGAAGATAAATGAGTAATATATAAGTCAGATGATGCAGATGAGTCAGATACACATGATTTGTGATATTAGTCACGAACCCCATAGCAAGATTAAACTCAGAATAGACATTAAAATATGATTTCCACATAATCAAAAGGTAATGACATCAGGAGAGTTAACATTAATAAGACGATATCTGGGAAAAAGTAAAAGTGGCGTAAAATTCAAATACAAGTTTATAAAACGTTCCATAATTAATCATCGGTTATAACGTCCAACCAATGACAGCAAAGTAAGTGTTGACATACTCACGTAAATGCAAAGTTTCTAAGGTAGGGTCGGAACATATTTACCTACCTGAAAAGGACGATGCCTTACCGACTCCAAACGCACCAATTCCTCATTGGTGCATTGTAAATAACCTTGCA